ATCTTCAAATGAAAAAAATGCCAACATTCTCCACATATTCGAAATTTCTGTGCTTTTTCTTTGAAAGAGTAAGGAACCTCGATGTGGATCACCCTTTTACATAAATATTGCGTCATTATTACAGTCAACTTATAATAAAAATTATTTTTAACGTATAACGCCATGACAGCATTTTTTTGTTGTTTAGCTATAGTAATAGCACAGTTTTCACTTTCTTCAAGGTTGTGTTTGAGCAAATTTTTTTATTCAAATGACTGCATTGACAGTTCACGCTGTTAGTTACATTGCATACTTTTAAGGCCATGTTTAATGGCTATCAAAAGGTTGACCACAGTGCCAATCAAAGCAGTACCACTAACAAGAGTTACAAACATACTCTGCTTTTGTGGGTTATTTTCCAAAGCAAAAGAATTGCTGAAAATCAGGATCCAAAGAAAATTTTCACTAGTGCTTTAATTAAATTCCCCCTGGAGTGTAATGAGCTTACTATTGACTTAGGTCGAGTCATTCCAATACATTACTTATAAACCTTCTAGTGCATCATTAATCATTAATTGCTTACAGTACATGAATTTTGAACTTGCATACGACATGATATCATGTAAAGTAGTTGAGAGATCACTCAATTTTGTAACAAAATACCTGCTGCGCGCACTGCTACTAAAATCACTATTTCTATTTGGCTCTTTAAAACTAACACAGACTTGGGAACAATTGCCATTACATTTAAAATTTCTTAAGAAGGGTTTTTATTCTAAGAACAGATCCTAAATATCTAACGAACAATCCACGTTAGATAATTAGTTTACAACCTCTAACTCTGATGTCGTGACTATTTGTCCAATGCGCTAAACATAAAAATATTGTTTCATATTACTGCAATTCGGATTCAAAATCACGAAAACGTAATCATTCCGATATGAGATTTTTGTTTTTCGATGTTACTGTTACTTATTTGAATCCAATTTGATAGCGAGCTCGAAGTATTATTTTAAATTATTTCGTGTTTTTTTTATTTTTATTTATTATTGTCCTGTGGTTAGTGAGTTCTCTGCTCTCAGTAAGGCTATTTTTCCCTAATTGTGGGGATATAATAGGCTAAGCGGCCCTATCGGCGTTCATGCTGTAAGGTTGATAATTTTACCGGACGCCAGCTGTAGAAGCTTTATGGAGAAATACGAGGTGGAATCATATCAACACTTCCTTATTTCATTGTCCGGCGTTGCGAGATCAAGACTTACATACTTTTGAACTCATCAATATTCACTGAGCTGGTATGAATGGAAATTAGGCGTGTGGGCAAATTTGTATTGGTCACAAGGAGCTTTTCTAACTTTTAAAATTTAATAGAGGAGTTCTGTTTTGGATTCCCACGGTACTGCAAGTAGTAGTCCAGGTGGAGGCTCTGGATCAGCCATCGAACCTCACCCAACCTTAACGAAGAATAAAGTTGACCCATTTTAATAACTTTCTGCTTGTGTGTGAAAGTAAATTATATACAAAGAAGAAAAAAAGTTAACTTCGGCTGCACCGAAGCTAATATACCCTTCACAGGTTCATGGGTTCAGTTTATACGGGAGCTTTATGCTATAGTTATTCGATCTGAACAATTTTTTCGGAGTAATCCATGTCAAATTTCGTGAAGATACCACGTCAAATGCGAAAGTGATTCCGATCGTTCAGTTTGTATGGCAGCTATATGTTATAGTGGTCCGATGTCTGTAGAAATTGACATTTGCAAAATTTCAAAACGATATCTTAAGAAGTAAGGAAGGGCTAAGTTCGGGTGTCACCGAAAATTTTATACTCTCGCATGATAAAGTGATAATCGAGATTTCATTATCCGTCATTTACATATTTTTTTATTTTGCTGTAAAATTAATTAGATTAGATCAATTTATGTACTTTGAGTATTGAATTGTATTTTCATTTATTTTAACTGCATTGATTTACCGATATTTTCGGTGAAAAATTAGGTTAGGTTAGGTTAGGCACTGAGTTCTTCGTGTTCGATATCAGGGACCTTGAAAAGTTATAGTCAGATCACGACAATATTTCCACAAGGGATACCTCAGCTCAAATACCGTATTTGTGTAAAGTTTTACTCCGCTATCATCATTGGTTCCTAGTGTACGTATATGTTATACAGAGAAGGCATCAGATGGAATTCAAAATAGCGTTATATTGGAAGAAGGCGTGGTTGTGATACCGAATTTCATTGATATCGGTCGAGTACTTCCAGGGATATGATTTTTGGTCCATAAGTGGGCGACGCCACGCCCACTTTCAATTTAAAAAAAAGCCGGGGTGCAGCTTCTTTCTGCCCTTTCTTCAGTAAAATTTAATGTTTCTGACTTCAACAGACTCTGTGGCCTCATTATCGATATTCTTTTGGATCCCAGATGCTTATAGCGTAGTCTTGTCAATCCGGGACCAGTACACAATAAACGCTCCACTACTTCCATGGCACCTTGCTCTAGACATTACAGTCTTATTAATCTGCCAACCCCATTATGCGGGCGTGTGTCGCCACCAGACAGTGACCAGTTGGTGTTCCGATCTTGGGCTTGTAGTCTCTTCTATCAAGTGTGAATGGTAATTTTGTGTACTTTCGATCTACCGCTTTGCACAAGATTTGCTCCCAGTTAGCTCGTTTCAATGGGTTCTTGATTTTCTTCAATATACTTCTGTCCAGATCGCCGTAAAGACAAAGTCTGGGTTTCCGAATGTTGGCCACGTTTGCGGGTATTAGCCGTACACCATTCTTGGCAATCTCGTCCACTATTACGTTGCCCTCGATGTCTTTGTTACCTGACACCCAGTGGAAGTAAAGTTGAAACATTGAATATTTAATATTCATTATAGAACGTCTGCCTTGAATAGACTGTTTATAATTGCTTGCTGAGGTAGGGACCCCAACTTTAAGTAGAAGATGGCTATCTTTGATGTTGTCGAAAATTAAGCCCGACTAGAAGAACTCTGTGATAGTAGAAACCTTAATAGTTGCTAAGTAAGAAAAATATTGATACTCAGCAATCCGTCAAATTGCTTTGTTTTCTACCAAAAAAAAAAAGTCTTATAGTCACCACTTGAATATATCTCCCCACTAATTGCCACAAACTAGGGATTTTTATTTTATGCCAAGCAACTGCATAATTTTACAGTTAACGTGCTTGAGTGTTTTCATTTCGTCCAAACAAAAATCCAAATTCAATAACTTGGCTGAGTTATAGCCCTGCAGCGTTTTTAATCCATGCCGTGTAATCTCGTGCATAAATCAACTCCATTAACAAACGCCCAAAAAATACCTGAGGCGATTCTGAAGACTTAAAAAGTCCACGAAGAAGCGAAAGTCACGACAGGATAAGCGTGACGAACATGCAAATACCCTTAATGAAGAAGCAAAACACACGCAAAAAAAAAAAAAAAAAAAAAAAAAAAAAAAAAAAAAAAAAAAAAAAAAAAAAAAAAAAAAAAAAAAAAAAAAAAAAAAAAAACAGTAGTATTAACTGACTGCTATAATAATAGTAATGCATAAATATTTAAATATTGCCACGACTTAATGTTGTGCAAAAAGAAATTCACTCATTTACACTCGACACCTGGGCTATGCATAATGCGAAAATACTTAGACGCACACATATATGTAGGTTTGTATATTCTGTTTAAGTAGTTGTGCTTTAAGCCCTCTGGTAGACGCTCGACGGGTAATCGCAGTCGCGCCACTCAGCGCCGACAGGCGGCCGGGCTATCAACCGCTGCAGCTAACCATCACCCCGCGAACATCTCGACCATATCTTAGAAGTGTAATACAAGCCATCGGGCTATAGGATATACTGCTTATATATAGATGTATGCTTATATTTTATAAACCAACTCAGTGAAACTCGGTTGGCAGGTGGGGAGAGATGGAGAGTCAGTGTATGTCAGTGTGGGTGTGTTTGTTCAAGAAAAAATTAAAAAGGAAAACACTCAAGACGTGCGAAGTATGCAAATATTTACAGAACCTCAGACTAATAAGTGTGAATAAGTGAAATCCTCAGAGCAGTTTGCCACGCAAAATGGAAATGCCGAGAGAAAGAGGAAGACAAAAAATGAAAAAAAAAAAAACAGAGTAAGGAAATAAGAAAAGAAATGAAGCGCAATAAATGAATGAGTGAGCGCTTGAGAAACGACAGTGCTGCCAGGCGGATATATGTACCCACTCGAACTCGAGACGTCTAAGGGTCAGGAGTTTTTATTTTCATTTTCACTTCTATTTCCATTTGTATTTAATTTCTCCACATTTTCTCACATTGCCACGACAAATGTCGAGTTAGCAAGCCGGCTGGCCGACAGTGAGGTGTGAGAAATGAATAATGCGAACATGCAAAGTTACCGTGCACAGGTGTCTGCAGGCATGCGAAGGCTATAGGAGCGCAGCGATGCGACCAAAGGGGGGCATAAATGCTAGGTAATTGGCAATGTGTGGTCTCTGCCGCTTGTAAGAGAATATATGTATGGGACGCAGGCTACATGACGGTGGCTGCGGTGGTGTATAAGTTCAAGGCGACTCGGTGGTCAGTGTGCAAGCACAAGCCTCGCTCTCTACCACCAACCAGCTGTGCAGCTTTGTCCTTTGTGCTGACCCAAGAATTGATGACCGCCGCTGTGTGGTGTGCGCAGGGTCAGGGCGGCAGAGTCGAGGAGTCACCGAGCAGTGCATTTGATATGCAAAGTAGTTAAATGAAAATGTGTTCGGTGGCGTCAAGAGTATCGTGTTTACAATCTTTACTTTCCTTTTGATGTCTTTTCATTTATTGCGCCTCTTATGTTGTTGTTGTTTCTATTACTKTTGTTGTGATTGTCCTTCATTCTACTTGATTTTGTTTGGTGTTTTGTGCTTTGAGTTGTTTACACATGTTTTCAATTTGCTTCGAATGCATGTTCGTTCGTTTGACTTGAGCGCTGTGAGCTTTTATAGCTTTTAAATGGCATATCTTACATCCATCAGCATAATGCAGTTAAACACTTGAGTGAGACGTACATACATATGTACATATATACGTAAGTGTATAGAAATGTAAAACCAAAAGTTGCGACACTGGCGTTGCGGAAAGAAATTGTGTGTGCGAAAATTGTCAGCGTAATTAAATTGAAGAGCGTTTAAGTGTGCACCCTCCAAGAGTTCCAGGAGAAGGAAGTAAATATACATACATATACACACTTGTAAATTATTCACTTAATTGGAGGAAAGTGGAGTGTAGTGGCATGAAGTTTGACTTTGAGCACAATTAAAATATCTAAAGCTGCAAAATAACTAACTGAAGTCTTATTTGCCTGCGCTAAAGCAAAGAAAGCGCGGAAGTTAACTCAGCGTATTACAAAAAGGTAAGCCTTATAAGATCCATTTTAAACCGTCTTTAAACCATAATATTTCTGATAATAATAATTATTTGAAAAATCACTCATTATAATCTAAATGAATTATTTTTTGAGGGGTTGCCATATATTTCTAAGTATCAGCGCAATTAAATCAAGTAGCCTATACAAGATATCTTCAAAAAACGTAACGCTAATTATGGTGCAAGATAACGGTGAAAACTCCGTAGAAATTGTTTAGATTAAACCACCATAGCAAACTAGCATTGATCAACCGCATGTCCTTGCATGGAAAACTGATTTTTTTTTGAAGAGATATCGTCAAGAAATTTAGCATGAATTACTGAAAAAACAAGTAGTGAAGTGCTAAACTCGTGTATAACCAAACATTTTCTACTCTTCGGACTTGCAAGGGTTAAAGGTTATAAAAACTGTTCCATTCGAAAGAACAAAACAAAACAATCGAAAGTCGACACTTAACCAGCGAAAATTCAAAATTGGTGATAATTTTTGTTTAATCCTTGTACATTTTCCTAATATTGCGTAATAATTATAAGACAGCTCATTCAGATTTTCAAATTTTGCTAAAAATGTTTATTTCAGCAAAGTTACCACATTATTCATGTCTCCTTGTTCGCTGAAGGTGAGACTGCAAGAGAGTCTGATATTGGAGAGTTGGAGGAAGAAATGTCTGGATGTTTTCAACTCACCCTTCTCCATACAATTTGCTTAACTTGCATTCCAGTGCTAGTACGCAAGATGCCAGTGGAGATCCAATTCCAGTTTTGCCTGAAGACTACTACTGGGTTCTCATTCTATATTGGGAAATATTGTATTTCAACATTTGATGCCTCCACTTAAAAAAAAAAATAATAATAATAATTTATATATATATATGCTTCTGTAGAGTAATGCCAGAAAGAATAATTTAACCAAAATTAAAATCTGTATTTATATGGTCTCAACATCTGTCGTCTAGTCCAGATTGAATCTGAAAGTGAATATGGTTTAAATCACTCTCTAACATACTATACATACTTGTAACTGAGAAAGATTCGCAGGAATATAAATAGACAATTCTCTTGGAATAATGTGAAACATTGTCCATTAAGAAAATCGGTCTTTAAATTCCTTAACTTGAAAAACAGTAGTAGGAGAGTCATTTCGCAGCTCCTTGATGCAAGTACATTGGGCGAAACGCACAACAGCACCGACGACTCTACCACAAAAACAAAGTTTCAGCACGTTCTCTTAAAGCAATTAAGAATATATAATTATTAATGTTTAGTAACAAAATTAATCAGCCGCGCTCTACACGCTTTGTTAATGAGCGAAGACGCAGGCAGTCTATGAATATTAAAATCAAATAATCTTAAATTACTTCAAATCTTCGCTATTAATGCCACGCTGCATATCAATCAAGGAGAGGAAAGTAGAAAGACATTTATTAGATGTGATGGCACGAGTTTCGAGTTTGCTAAGCGCTTTAATGTCGACAGAACAGGGTAAGGGTGGCCGTTCGATATGTCGTGCTGCTTACTTACATATATTTAAACTGGTGAACAGACGACGACAGCATAACGATGACGTAGTGACACAATGACGACAATCGATGACAAAGGCGAACAGCAGGCTTTTGTTGTTCTTACGGATGACGAGGTTGATGTTAAAATAGAGAGCGTTCGTTGCTGCGTTCGTTCGTTTTCCCAGGCGGCTTAACCCCTTCGTTAAACTCTCGCACAAGTTCAGTAGTTAGTGTAACGATGTCGCTGCCTACAAATGAAGCAACTATGTGCTCAGCACATAAGTCTGCCCTACACTTGTGCAGCATAATGGACCATGGCGTAAGTGCTGGAAGCGGCTTTGGCGCTTTACTTTTCAGTTGATATCTATTTTTATATAATTTTCCACTTGAACGACTCAACCGTAACTCCCAGTGTGAGCAACGTGGCTACACACATACATCTCCGCCAATTGCTGTTCGCTTTCGTTGAATCGTTAAGGTGTCTCAACACTAGTACGGCGCTTTAGAGATGTGTCGTCGGAAAATTCATTGCCGCTACCAATTTTTAAGTCGAAATTGGTCTCGAGCTTCTCTTAAGACCCCTTACTTGCTCAAACCCATTTTATAGCTTTAACGCCCCTTCACTTTAGCCGATATATGCATCTATAGGAGCACATACATCCGCACATATTTGTCGGCATCGCCGTCATCGAATTGTTGGGTAAATGGCGCATTTCGTACCTGAAAAGCTGAAATTGATGCTCGCTGATGGTAACAAATTAAGTTTAACGATTGAGCTGGCAACCGAGTAATGAACTCCCGCCACCTGCGTCCCGTTTAACCATGTTCGTGCTGCGGCGCGGCATCGTAACTTTGTTACGATATCGATTTCGTTTGCGGTAAAAGCGCTGCTCGAGTTCACAAACGGAATGGCAAGCGAATATTCGGCTGACACTTGATGGAGATGGCACTTGGGCTGCTATTCGAGAGAGTTTCGCTTTTTTCCACAGACTCATTGGTTGAATCGCCTGGCTTGCCACATAAAGTGTTGTTAATAAGAGCATCTACATGTTGTATATGTATATCCAAATGTTCGTGTGGAAAATATGGCATAGAGCAGTAGCGGTAGTTTATATGGGCGCAGAAGGCTATACTATAAAAATGGAAGCTGCGAACTAAAAAAGCGCTTAGTCCATAAAAGTGCAGTAAAGTAAAGTAAAGTAGAGTGGAGTAGAGTAGAGTAAAGTAAAGTAAATTTACGGACATAGGTAGTACCGTTGATAAGTGAGAGATGAGAGATACGAATGCCAATGTTACTGAAACAGATACTTAAATTTGAACCTGGCTAAGGTTAATTTCAAATAAATAAAAAAACCGTTTTCAAATCGCAACAAGAAAAAATGTTAATTCGGTACGACCGAAACTATAATACCTTTCACAAGTACAAAAGTTTCCATCCATATATCTGATCGATCACTTTGCATGACACCTTAATGGTACCATATCGGCAGTTCCGATCAATAAGCAAATTTTTGGGGAAAAAAGAATATGTGCAAACTTCCAGATGGATATCCCGAAAACTAAAGTACAAGTTCGCATATATTTCGTACAGACTAACAGATGGATACGGTAAAATCGGCTCAGCTCGTCATACCGATCCGTTATATGTATTTTCGTGGCAAACTTTATATAACGTATTCAGGGTTTGTCAATATAATTCGGTTGGTAGTGTTAAAGCTCTCGTTGTGTTGGTAATATGTCCTTCTTCTTTATTGGTGTAGCCGCCGCTTACGTTGTTATACCCGAGTTTACAACATCGCGCCAGTCGTTCATCTTTTTCGCTGCTTGGTGCCAATTTGAGAACTCAAGTGTAATCAGATCTTTCTCCCCTGGAGCGGAGTCTTTCACTGCTTCACACTGTAGAGTTTGGTCTTTGTTCATCGAGAGATGACTTTACTTCTCAATTGCCTACTCAGAAGCACCTGTTGGCAAGAGTAATCCAGCGTTGGATTTCCAGGCTGACATAGTTGTTGATGTTTATGCTGGTTCCAAGCAAGACGAAATTATCTACGACTTTGAAGTTTCAGGTAAACTCCAAAATGTTTTGGAAAAGCTTGACGGTTAGAAGAAAGTTCACTAATGAATTCACCTTGTCTTTCTCCAGATTGAATATTTGGATGCCGGAAACATATTTAGCCTCATCCTTTTTGTACTAATGCCTTCGAGTTATTTATAAAGGTCCTTCTAAAAAGTCGTTAGGCATTAAATAAGCAAACTTTTTATTAGAAGCTATCTTGCATCTTTAAATAAATCTTAAAATAATGCACTTGTCTCTTTTAATAAAATTTCAGTATATTGAATGGGGTTTTTGGATTTTCAAGAAATCGTTTTTTTTTTGTTATTCAATGTCCGCTTTTCATTAAAATATTATGTCAAACCGTTTACTACTGTGATCAAATCGAAAGGTGAATTTTGTTCATTTCATCTCCTTCAAAGTAATTCCCTCTTCTGCAATACACTTAGTCCAATGGCCATCAGAGCTTTCTTCCATTAAGCTTTTATAATCTCAATTGAGTCAAAACGGTGTCTACGGAGTGGTCTATTGAGTTTGCTGAAAAGCCAGAAGTCACATGGGGCGAATACGGTGGCACGATATTAGTTGAAAATTTGGCGAAATGATCACAAATAACCAATTCAGTATGAGATGGTGCATTATCGCACTTCTTAATAAATATTAAATATTTTACTACTAATAAATATTTTGGCGTGAAATTTAGCTTAGATATCAATAACAGTACTACCAACTTACAAAAAAAAAAAAAAAATTTAGTGATTCGAAAAACAMGCGAATTATAAATTAAATATTCGCCTTTTAATTTGACCACTTTAGCATATATGTCAGCAGGTATAAATTCAAAAGCGCTTTTCGAGAAATTTAATTTTTCGAATCGTGATGGTACTTGCCACTCGTAGGTATCCACTAGACAATTTTTGTTTCACGGTAAAATTATGCACAAATTATTTGAACTAATTTTTGTAAAAAATCAACTGCAATTCTTATACTCTGAACAGGGTATATTAAGTAAGCCACTTCGTTTCTAAACTCCCTGTAGAAAACGTCGGTGACTGTATAAATTAAATATACTCATGCGCCCAATAAAAGGTACTTGAACTTCCGGTTGGCTTTATACCTTATGCATATGTATAAATATTTAGCGTGACGAGCTGAGTCGGTTTAACCATGTCCGTATATCCGTCCTTCTGTCTGAGGATGTGTAAATTAGACCCTCAGTTCGTGAGATGTCGAATTTCGCTGACTCCCTTCTAGGCTTTGCTGGAAATACTGAGCCTGTAAAGAGTATTATAGTTTCAACTTCTTTTATAAGTCAGACAGTTTCGAAAGATTAATATTGTCCTATTTTTCGTTTTGTTTCAAACACCATGAGTTGCTATAATTGGCCTGGTAGCCGTCATTTTGTAAAAAAAAGTTTTAATAGTTATACTA